TGGACTGCATTTTCCCAAATAAGGGAAATCAAATCAGTTGGAGGTAACACTCTACATTTCTCCCCCTCCTTAATGATAGCATCCCTAATTAAGCCAGCCTCAAAGGATAAAATTAGTGTCTAGAGGTCAAAGGTCAAGCCCATGGTTTACAAATCTTATTGGAAGTCATATAAACTGCTTACCTGAAATAAAACCCCCCATCAGTCCCCACCCTCCCTTCCCTGGAAAGGGAGTAGATTTAAGTTCATTTCTTCTTTTTCACCACAGTAATTGGAAGACAGAGAAGGTAGTGGGGGAGGCAGGAACATTCTGATTCATCTTAAAAAATAAAGATCTGCTTAAGTGTCATTTGCAGTCGTATCAAGTTTTTTTCAATTCTCCTTAGTGGCTGTCTCCAAGGGCTCATCTTCTAAGCCAAAGCTTAGCTTGTCAGCTAGCCCCTCAAACTGCTTGCTCACACTGCCCGCAGAGTCCATGAACATGTTAGGAATGTCTTTGCCAAAGTAAATCTTGCTGTTGGAAGCAATGGCCTTGTACTTCATCAGCTGAAGATATTCAGGGGTTAGCTTCAGCTGTTTAAAAAAAAAAAATATGGAAGACTTAGGTGGAACCATGTTAGAGAAGACGGGGGTGGTGCCCCTTCAATTTTCCTATGACGAGGTTCTCTGTCAAATATTTATGCCCCTACGTACTTTTTGTGGTCTCATTGTTACATTTCTGTAAGAGACAGTCATCTCAGATCTTGGAGCAGAGTTGCAAAAGTTAAAAGTTTCCATGTTTAACACAAAATTAAACTAAACTTCTATCAAGGCATGTCCAAGGAGAAGGAAAGTACTTGCACCACACAGCACAGGTGTCCTCAGTTCTGGCCATGAAGGGCTTTGGGTGGTGGTAGGCACTCAACACTGGAAACTCTCCCACAATACAGACCCAGACCCAGACTCCTCTTTATCAGGCTGTGCGGGGTCTTTACCTTATTGGCTTCGGCTATTTTCATAGCAGTGTAGCACTCAGCATCCGCCTTTGCCTTCTCCCGGGCCAGAAATGCAGCATCTGAGGGGGAAGGAGTGCAGTGAACTTGGTGAAGTGCTAAAACTGAGTTCTTTGCAGGAAGTGCAGAGGCTATGGGAAGACTCTGTTCTGGTCCCTGGAACTTCGCCCCAATTGCCTCTGTGACCTGGGGGAGACTGCTTTGTCCTCTGTTTTACATGCATTTTCCCCTATTGTACAAGTTGTTGTAAGGATCAACTAAGATGAAAAAGTGTTTTGAAAGCATCTCCCTTTGACAGGGGCAGCAAGTCTGTGGCTATGGCCCAAACATACATGTTGACAGCGCTATGGAAGAAAGCAGTGTTAGCCAGAAGCGCTTCCTGTCTTACTTCTTTTGGAGATCCATGTCTGTGAAGCACAGCAGTGGGACCCTGCCTCAAGCTCTAGGCCAGAGCTTGCCACTCCTCCCTCTTGTGCTACACAGCAAAAGCAGGAAAGCTCAAAGGTGGCTCTAAGTACGGCCAGAGGTGGATCCACCCTAAAACTGAATGCCATGAACATAACATAGTTCAGTCCCTCTCCAACTTCAATTCCCTTTTATTTCCACCAATCATTTCAAAAAGGTCCTAATTAACAGTGATTAAGCTGGCGCGATTCTGAGAGAGAATTACACGCCATGGTCCAGACCAACACGTGTTTGGATTAAGACCTATTTAATTCCACTGTGTAAGCCATATTCTTCCCTAATCAGCTCTGAGACTAGCTTTCTGTCAAGCTGATAGAAAATTTTTGATATTTACCTCCTTGCCTTGGGAATGGGCCAGCCTCATGTGAGTAATATATGTAGCAACATGTCTGGGAGAAAGGTCAGTCTGTGGGTGGGTTCTCACTGTGTGCCCTCAGTGTGACCCCTCGTGGAAGGAGCTTCAGTCCAGCCAGGGTTCTGGCTGCCATGGGGCCCCCTCAGCTGGCCTGAGCACTTGATGACATGTATTTGTGAGAAATAAAAACGTGTTGCTTTGCTAAGAGCTCCCTAATGAGGAGCCACTGATCTGTGAAATCCTAACTGGCTCCTCTACGGGCCCCTGCAAAGCCTGACAGGCCCAATAATGAGTATAATTAGACATAACACTTTGTAGCCTGAAGCTGGGCCTTGAGGTCCCAGTTTTGCCTTGGAATTTGCTTGAAATAAGCCACCCCAAGAAGAGGTGGGCAGTGGGAAGGAGGTGCAGGCTTAGGAGCAGGAACAGAAGGTGAATGATACTCAGAAAAGCCAGCAAAGAAAACCTTTCTCTCCAGCTCCTGTCTGACAGGTGCTGAAAATCTGTCTTCTTCAAACCTGGCTTAATATCTGCATAGACCTGGAGAACAGACTGGGAGCCCAAAACCATGGCGCCGACCAACTTTGGAGCAGAAGAAGCTAAGGCGGTGGGGAGAGCCAACTGCTGAGAGTACGCTGCCACCGCTCCAAGGCCCCGCTAGCCTGGGAACTCCAAGACAGCAGGTCTACGGGACTTCCTTTTTCTCATGCCTAACAAAATGCTGGGCACATACTGGTAGTCAAGCCACATTTGCTGAATGAACAAATGCTCTCTGAAGTAGAAAACAGATGCTAGCCTGGCCACAGTCGCTTCAAAATTCAAATCTCTGCATGGAGAAAAGCTGCTGTTGTGCGGAGATCATGACATCCTTGAGCACAGTTAAAGGGCAAAGGCAATGGCTCCCCTACCCACTGGCCCCAGGGCGTGGTCTGAGGAGGACTCAGGCATGACAGCCACTTCTGCTTACCTTCAATTTCTGAAATCTTCTTCTCAGTCTCCTTCTCCATCACCTTCTGCCCGTAGGTGATCTCAGCCACCTGGGCCACTTTTTCTGCCTCTGCATAAATGATAGTGAGGAAAGACTTAGGGTTCTGGCATTTCAGAGTTTGACTAATTTCACCTTTCACCCGAGCTGAGTGTCCTGGTGGGCCAGCTTGGCTGGAGAGCCCCCAGAGGTCAGCTGTGAGGGCACACATGGGCAGAGTGGGATGTGCCAGTGAGCACAGCCCCCTTCTATCGGCTTGAGATAGTAACCGAGACCTGGGCCCAGGGCAGGAAGCATGAGCCCTAACTTCACAAGGGAACTTCTCCAAAGGAATATTCTATAAGAATGGAGTACTCTAGCAGGGTTCTGCCTGGCCCTTCACTGTAGACAGGGCTCAGGTTGGTTGTTGATAATACAGCGCAGTGGCTAAGACCATAGCTTCTAGAGCCAGTGTCCTTGGTTTGAACCCCAGTTGCACCCCTTACTTGCCATATGCCCTTGGGCACGGCATTTTACCCCTCTGTGCTTCGGTTTGATAAAACGAGGTTAAGGATAATACAGAACCTACCTCACACAGTGGTTGTGAGGGTTGACTTAACCCACATATTAAGTGGTTAGAAAAGTATGTGGCTCACAGTAAGTGCTTAAGTGTTAGCCATTATTATGAAGCATTAACAGCCTGGGCGCGGTGGCTCACGTCTGTAATCCCAGCACTTTGGGAGGCCGACGTGGGCAGATCATGAGGTCAGGTGTTCGAGGCCAGCTTGGCCAACATGGTGAAACCCTATCTCTACTAAAAATACAAAAATTAGCCAAGCATGCTGGCACACGCCTATAATTCCAGCTACTCAGGAGGCTGAGGCAGGAGAATCACTTGAACCTGGGAGGTGGAGGCTGCAGTGAGCTGAGATCATGCCATTGCACTCTAGCCTGGGTGACAGAGCAAGACTCCATCTCAAAAACAAAACAAACAAACAAAAAAAACAACAAAAAAAACAGGTAGGGCTTCTTTCATTTAAGAAATAAGTGGGAACTCAAAACTCATTACCCTTGGCCATGATCTGACAATTTCAACTTTGTTTCTGGGAGTCTACCTGCCACTCCTGCGCTGTGGAAGTGGTTTGGAGGACCATGGGGTCTCACCAGGCCTCAGCCTCCTTGCATCTTCCCACCACCCCCAGCCCTTCTGCCTGGAAAGGGGGATCACAGAACCACATTCAGACCAATGAGCGCCTTCTTCCGCTCTGTCTCTGCTTCCTTTTCCACCACCTTCTGTTTCTGGGCTGCAATAAGAAGCTTTGTCTTCTCGCTTTCCCTGAAGTGGAGAAAAAGCTGTGAGGCAGCTATGGAAAACTCAGGAGCTTCACTGTCCCCAGGAGAGGTCGAATTCTTCTGCTGAAGAGAGGCAAACTCCCATTTCCTACTCCTCCTGGAAGGCTGTTCCATGGCCCAGGTAAAAGCTGATCTATAAAAGCTGACAGTAACATAGCTCTTCTCCTCCCAAGTAACTCATTTGTGGAAAATAAAACACAATTTAGTAAAATACACCTGTCTGTCCACTTACTGGTGTCTTGCTCCTGTCTACGCCTTGGGCATGAGTCACTGAACACAAACAAGGCCCCTTGGCCCTTTTCAAAACATTGCTGCTCTACAGGGCTTATCCTGGTGTTCTCAATCACAGGCAGGGAGCCCCAGTGGTGGCCCTGACGTGCCTGCCCAATCTTACAGTGCAGTGGGCTGTGGCAAATCCTCCAGCAAGGGGATAACTGAGAAGCCTGGCAGCTTCAGTTACCTCTGGGATGGGATGAGGTGGGAGGTGGGAGGTGGGAGTCTGTGGTGGTCACAGCCCAGGCAGAGGGTATACTCACATCAACTCGTAGTTTCTGCGGATTGCCTCTGGTATGTTGGGCTTTGTTACCCGCACAGCCTGGAGAGAGATTAAAACAGCAGCTGATGGGAAAGTGAGGGTAGTGAGGGGACACACGCAGTTCCCACTGGGCCTTGATCTTCCTGCACAAAAAGGACATTCCTTGGGAGAAGGGATGCAGTGTCAGAGAGACAGGGGCTGCTCTCATGCAGCAATGCTTACTTGAATGACCAGCCCAGGGGCCATGGAGGTCAGGTCCTGCTGCAAAGCCAGTTTGAGATTTTCATCAATCTGATCTGGAATAAAGAAAAGACAGAGAAAAAGGAGTTGTTACACTTTCTAGATGAGGGAGGGCAGGATGAGGGTAAAGTGCAAGTTCAGTCACCAGCTCAAGAATGTACCCTCCCAAGGGAGTGTGCTTATCAAAGCCCACAAATCTAAAGATCCCCTGCCCAACTTCTGAAGCAGCCTATGCAGGCAGCCCTCTACACGGCGAACGCAAGGGCATTCTATTTCTGTGCCTCAAGATAAAACTCAACCTTTGTTCTGAAAATACTAACCATGCCCTACAGCGGGTGAGAGCTTAAAAAGAAAAAAAAAAGAACAAACAATTCTAGCACATTTCTTGCGTGAGGCAGCAGCCTTTCCCTAGACAACAGCAGCCAAAGAGAAGGAAGGTTCAGTTTCCCTGAAGAAGGAAGGTGGAATGGCTATTTAGGTTTTGTGGAATGAGCTGAGCACATTAAATCTAGTAATTTTATAAGTTTCTAAAAGAAAAACAGACTTTGACGTCAAGGAGAGCCCCAAGGAAGACTGTTTCTACTAGGAACTCCATCAAACAACAGGAAGGGAAAATTAAAATGTACAGTTCTGGAAACGAGCCCCAGGCTTTTGATGTGCTGTTTGCGTTGGTCCTGATTTCTTTGTCTGGAATCCACATGAGTTGTTTCACAGACAAATGTAGGAACAGCTGTAACCGACTCTCCCCCTGCCTTCCTTTCCAGCTGCAATCTCAGAAAAGCAGCACCAAAGCTGCCTTCTCTGGCCTGGGCTTCTCAGGTTTTAGAATCCCCTTCCTTGCCTTCTGCCCATGAGATCCTCGATAAGATCCCAGCGGGGCTTAGAGAAAAAGACTAAGTGAAATCAGGCTGGGACTTGTACACCACATCTCTGCTTCGCTGTCAGCTGCCATCTGCTTTAAGTAGTCCTTTTGTGGTCACCTGTGCTCAAATAGCCTCTGAAGAAGAGAAAGTCTCCGTCCTTTTACTGATGCCAAAATGGAGGCCCATGGAAGCTGGCTAGTAGCAAAAATAACAAGCTTGTTTAATTGGTGGGCCTTGATTGTTAGGATTTTAAGACAGTACTATCAGTAAACAAGGGACGGTAACGTTTCTACATATAGGATGTGCTCTCACAAGCCTCAGCACCGAAGGAGAAATGCCATCAAGTCGGCACCTGCCACCTGCTAGGGGTCAACCAATTTAACAACTAGAACTAAATATTACATTCCATATTTTAAGTAATTTTAAGTAGAATACCAATCAAACTTTAAATGGCCCGTGTCCTCCATAAGCTAATAACGTCATTCATCAGACCAAATTATATCTCAGTCAAGGTGGAAGCCTGTGGCCATGGGCTAGTAGCTAACCGGGAAAATGTGAAAGAAATACTTTTCAAGGTGTTTTAGTAATACTGATGTTCATATGTTATGGAAATGTTGATAAATGCCATTTAAGTTATATTATTAAGGTAGCCGCAGGGAAAAGGCGAACGGCGCGCTCGTGACGTCATTTCGCCGCGACCCTCTTAGCGTAGTTTTCAGGTTGCTCCTGGAAACCATGCCGAAAGTAGTGTCTCGGTCAGTAGTCTGCTCTGACACTCGGGACCGGGAGGAATATGACGACGGTGAGAAGCCCCTCCATGTGTACTACTGTTTGTGCGGCCAGATGGTCCTAGTGCTGGACTGTCAGTTAGAGAAATTGCCTATGAGGCCCCGGGACCGGTCCCGTGTGATTGATGCTGCCAAACATGCCCATAAGTTTTGTAACACAGAAGATGAAGAGACTATGTATCTGCGGAGACCTGGAGGCATTGAACGACAGTACAGAAAGAAATGTGCAAAGTGTGGACTGCCGCTCTTCTACCAATTCCAGCCGAAGAATGCTCCTGTTACCTTCATTGTGGATGGAGCAGTAGTTAAGTTTGGCCAGGGCTTTGGGAAAACGAACATATATACTCAGAAACAAGAGCCTCCTAAGAAGGTGATGATGACCAAACGGACCAAAGACATGGGCAAGTTCAGTTCTGTCACTGTGTCTACCATTGATGAAGAGGAAGAGGAGATTGAGGCTAGGGAAGTTGCTGACTCGTATGCACAGAACGCCAAAGTGATTGAAAAACAGCTAGAGCGCAAAGGCATGAGCAAGAGACGACTACAAGAGCTGGCTGAACGGGAAGCCAAGAAAGCGAAAATGAAGGGGACCTTGATTGACAACCAGTTCAAATAACCAGGCCTTTTTCTGAGCCCTAGACTGGAGGCAAGCATTTAGATCAGGAGACAAAGTAATTTCTCGATTACATAGACTGGTTCCTATTTATGTATTAGCAGAAGGCTTTATGTTGTTTCCCACTGATTCTCCTACATGCAGTGAGGTCTTTTAACTGAGTGCATTTGACCTGCTTTCTAGGAGATGAATTTTTCTCTATTTTTTTCTGTTTTTGTTTTTTTTCTATTTTCTCTATTTAGGTTTTCTGTACTTTTTTTTTTGTCCATTTAATGCAAACTTATTCAGCTGTGTAGAAACTTTATGAATAGATCAGTGCTTGAGTGTCTCCAGTCTCTAAAGTGGCTGGTTTTATTCTTTCTTCAAAGTTAATAACATGTTTCAAGATTTTTGGACAAAATATTATGGTGTGTCATAGAGAAAAGCAGCATGAATTGTATTTAAGTATAGCAAGTCAGATCCTTTGAAGTGACTCTGTCTCTGTTCTTAGAAGGGTTCTTGGAATTGGCCGTGGTTTGAATCTTTCACTGTCAGAGGAGACCCATTAAAAGCCAGAATCTGCTTTCTTTACTTCACACACTGAAGCTATAGGTGAGCCATCCCATGTCAGACTTTATACTCAAAGAAGGAAAAGCCAGATTGCAGTGAGGGAGTAGGACAGCTGAGATCCGAATGAAAATGGGGTCTCAATAGGTAACCCAAGGGAGCTACCCTCTAGTAGGACAGCTAGTACTGCTTCCTTGCATGGACACATGGGAGGGAGATGTTATAGATTAATAAATAAATGACAGTGAGATAAACAAAATGATCTGTTGGGTATATTTTACTTTACATTTGCTATTTGCAGAGGAGTGTTGTATATATAGGTATTATTTTATGTCAGACTGCTTCAGTGATACCTATATCCACGTGTTTGTATCCATGTTTTTATCCAACTGTATTAAAAGGTGTTGGGACAGGAAAAAAAGTTGTATTACTAAGAACACACAAAGAGGTTCTTCAGGTAAACTTCTGAGTAAGTATTAGATAATACTTTAATAACATGGGCAAAGAGGATGCGGCAGAGTAAGAAGTGATAAAAATTATGCAGCTTCATGTTTAAAGTCTGGGCTATGGGAGTCCTGAGAGAAGGAAAGTATAGAAGAACCTTCTGAGTTGAAGGGCCAGGACTAGAAACATGAGCTCCTCCTTTATGGATATGACAGATTCTAAGCCAAGTAGTGCCTGCTAGCAAGACTGAGATGTAAAAATAAAAAAAAGTTTCAAAGCAAATATATTTCCCCAGCTTCTCCATACAAGCAGCTGTACTTCACTAAGCTACCAACTTTAGCTGTAAGAAAGTAAGTTTTCTAATGAAAAACAAGTTTGTATTTTAATTTTCTCTCCAGGGACATTGGGGATCCTTGGTCTTTTGTTTCAGTGCCTTGAAATGTTCATGTAATGGCACAAGCCCTAAGACAATGGCTAGAGAGAATTAATATTTTATACAATTCTATTAGTTTGAGGTTAAAAAAAAAAATCAATGGCAAATTTACCAACTTTTTCTTAAAAGCACACTGAATCCCAAACCGATAAAAGACTACAAACCCTATAAAATGAATTTAGATTCATTTTCTACTGCAGAAACATTAATTTGGATGATTTCCTAAATCTTAAATGGTGCAAAAGGTGGTTTGCTTAATTATGATTGTTGGCGATGTGGATGATTCCTCCTGTCTGCTATGAAAAATGTTCTCGCTCAGGGTCCCTTTTATGAAGATTCCTGGGAAAAATCATTTTCCAGTCCTAGTGTCAAGAATAGTTATACTATTGGTTAAAAATTCATTTACTTTTGGCATTGGCTATTAGAGAATTTCTGGCAGTGAGTTTAAACAGAATACTTGACTGCAAACAGGTTGTAACAGTTACCCAACTGTGTCCTTCCTTTGCTGCTAAGTCAGGTTGCCTTTATTTTGAAAAAGGTAAAAAGGACAAAGGCCGGACGCAGTGGCTCAAGCCTGTAATCCCAGCACTTTGGGAGGCCGAGACGGGCGGATCATGAGGTCAGGAGATTGAGACCATCCTAACACAGTGAAACCCCATCTCTACTAAAAAATACAAAAAAAAAACTAGCTGGGCAAGGTGGCGGGCGCCTGTAGTTCCAGCTACTCGGGAGGCTGAGGCAGGAGAATGGCGTAAACCCAGGAGGTGGAGCTCGCAGTGAGCTGAGATTGCGCCACTGCACTCCAGCCTGGGCGACAGAGCGAGAGTCTGTCTCAAAAAAAAAAAAATAAGTACAAAACATATCTACTTAGGCACGTGGAGTCTTTTTGTTTAAAGTGTTTTTCTATTTGTCGCTACAGGTACAGAGTAAAAAAATAATAATCACAAAGGTTCTGGGAACTGGAAGGAACTATGGTTCTCATCACACTTCTAGAATTAGGAATCATGTCTTTTTCATCACCCATTCCTGGGGGCCCTCCATTCAGTGTGGCATGGTGAGAGGAATGCTGAAGAGCCAGGAGAGGAAAGCTCCTGTTTCAGCTCCACTACTAACTGGCACCTGGCTCTGTGACTTTCTCGCTTTGGGTCACGGTACCCTCATCTTAAAATGAGGATGCTGGGCTGGAAAATCTCTGCAGTTCTTCTAGAATGGATCTTGTCTTCATTACTGAATGACAGTTTAGGGACAGTGGAAACACATTTCCACTCCAGCATCTGATTGAGGCCAGAAGTGAATACTCTACTCCACTACGATCCCTGTGCCCAAAGCTCCAGCCCTCTAAGGATCTTGTTGCATTGCCATCAGCACTCTCCAGGAATTCCTTTGTGACCAGCTCCTGAGCACGAGATTCTTTAACATTTCCTGTCCCTAAGTGCCCATCACACCCTGCAGGCAGCCAGGCATTAGGCAGTGGAGACACATGGGGTTCCAGGAACCCTGCTTAAGCATGGCATGCTCAGGAGAGACTTTCTTACCAAACAGCTCAATGTAGACCTCTTGAAGTGTGTGCACACTGCAGAACTGGTTCAGTTCGTGGTGGATCTTGTTGAAGATGAGGGCCTTGTCATAGTCGGCAGTATAGTTCTTCACTATATCATACACTGAGAGGGAAGGAGAGGGCTTGGCATAAGAAAAGGCAAGACTCAAAATGCCCTCAGACACAGCAGCTCTCCTTCTCCGAGGTGCTACAACAGACACGGGAGTGGCATGCTGGGGAAAGTGAGCTGGTGGTGGGAATAAACTGTTAAGACGTACCTGCATTTGGGACCAGGAAGTTCACCACTTCAATTCTGTCAAAGTAGATCATCACACCACCACTATTGGAGGGAGAATGGACAAGAAGTCACTGGGAAGCTCTGGGATATGGTGCAGTCCCCCAGGGCGATGGTGTAAGATGTGGGCTTGGCAGAAAAGGAGTAGAAGAGTACACAGGAGGTTGTAAGGCAGCTTGGATCTCCAAGCAGGAGGTTCTGCAGGGCTCATGGCAACAACATACTCTCCTGAGAAATCACACTGCCTAGGAACATCTCTACAAAGACACGAGTGAGACTTTTGGGGAACAGTATGAAAGAGTAACTCATATCTTTGGAATCAGCAATGCCTTTTGATTAATCAGTTGCACAGAAAAGACTAAGGAGGGTCAAGGTGAAGTTTTTAGAACTTACAAGGTTACTATGGAATGTTATGGTCAATGTTTCTTAAACTGTCTTCACTATTACTTTCGTGTCACACTCCCTTTGCCCTCAAATGTTTATTATAAAAAGATTTCAAACATAGAGAAGCTGAAAGAATAGTACAACTAACATCCACATCCAGACACCTGAGTTCAACACTGGTAACATTTTACCTTATTTATTGGCCTTTTTTTTTTTCTGAACATTTCAAAGTAAGCTGCAGTTAGGATACTTTATTCCTTTACTTTGGCGAGCATGGTCAAAAATGATCATTCTCCTACACACTCATAATATCATTCTCAAGCCTAAGAAAATTAGCAGTAATTCTGTAATATCACCTAATACCCAGTCCCTATTCAGATTTCCCCAACAGTTTGTGTTATGGACTGAACTGTGTATGCCTCGCCCCCAGATTCATATGTTGAAGACCTAACCCCCAATGTGACTGTATTTGGAGATTAGACCTTTAAGAAGGTAATTAAGGTTAAACAGGTTATAAGGGTGGGCTGTGATCCAACAGGTCTGGTATCCACCAGACACCTTCTTCTCTCTTCTTGCACACACAGAGGAAAGGCCTTGTGAGGACATGACAAAAAGGTGGTCACCTGCAAGCCAGGAAGAGAGGTCTCACCAAAACTACCCCTGCTGTTACCCTGATCTTGGACTTTGGGCCTTCAGAATGGTGAGACAATATCTATTATTTTAGTCCCTTGGTGTGTGGTCCTCTGTCATGGCAGCCTGAGTGGACTCACACAGTTCCCATTGTATCTTTTATAGCTGTTAATTTTGAACCAGGTTCTAATCAATGCTCACCCTTGCTTCTGTTTATGTCTCTTGTAAGTCTCCATTCAATCCAGCATCCCTCTAAATACGACCACTTTGTGAAGAGATCAGGCCTGCGATCTTGTGGGATGTTCCAATTCCGGATTTGTCAGAGTGTTTCTCTGTGGTATTCTTTGTTACTCTATCCCAGTTTAAACTCTCTTTGCTTTCCAGTGGGACTGCTATAGTAGTGTTCTCTTCGGATCTCTTTGCCCTGAAGGTCTCCCCTAACTTTATGACATTCTCTTTAGTTATGCAAAAGTTATCTTCTTGTATCAGGTCATTTATCTGCTAAAAACCTTTGTGCGTCCTCACTTCTTTTTTTTTGTTTTTAACATTAAAATTTTATTTTTTTTCCCGACGTTTAAGTTCAGAGGTACATGTGCAGGATGTGCAGGTTTGTTACATAGGTAAATGTGTGCCATGGTGGTTTGCTGCTCAGATCATCCCATTACCTAAGCATTAAGCTCAGCATTCATTAGCTATTCTTCCTGATGCTCTCCCTCTCCCCACTTCCTATCCACTGACAGGCCCCAGTGTGTGTTGTTCCCCTCCATGAGTCTATGTGTTCTCATCATTCAGCTCCCACTTATAAGTGAGAACATGTGGTGCTTAGTTTTCTGTTCCTGCGCTAGTTTGCTCAGGATAATGGCTTCCAGTTCCATCCATGTCCCTGCAAAGGACATGATCTTGTTCCTTTTTATGGCTGCATAGTATTCCATAGTGTATATGTATCACATTTTCTTTATCCTGTCTATCGTTGATGGGCATTTGGGTTGATTCCATGTCTTTGTTGTTGTGAATAGTGATCCTCACTTCTTTTTTTTTTTTTTTTTTTAAAGACGGAGTCTCGCTCTGTCGCCAGGCTGGAGTGCAACTGCATGATCTTGGCTCACTGCAATCTCTGCCTCCCAGGTTCAAGTGATTCCCCTGCCTCAGCCTCCCTAGTAGCTGGGACTACATGCGCGTACCACCACACCTGGCTAAATTTTTGTATTTTAGTGGAGACGGGGTTTCACCATGTTGGCTAGGATGGTCTCGATCTCCTGACCTCGTGATCAGCCTGCCTCGGGATTACAGGTGTGAGCCACTGCACCTGGCCAATCCTCACTTATAATAGAATAAGTGCAAACTCCTTATTACATACGGCATTCTAGCCCCTCCTGAACCTTCTGTGATTTCCTCTACTGCACTCCACCACCTGGCCAAATCAATATAGGGAGCTACGAGACAGGGAATTAACCAAGAAAGGGTGCCTCCCTTTTCACTGTCTCTTCCTGCAGCCAGCCAGATAGCCTTTTCTCTGACTTATTTGGGCTTAAAAGC